TGCAGGCACTTGAAGGGCCGGTCGCCCGTGTGCACGCGCCGGTGCATGGCCAGGTCGGCCGGCTGCCGGAAGTCCTTGCCACATTTGTCGCAGCGGTACGGCTTCACGCCCTCGTGCGCGCGCTGGTGGCGCCTGAAGCTGGATGGGTCGGAGAACATGCGGCCGCAGCGCGGGCACAGGAAGGGCTTCTCCCCGGAGTGTGTGCGCTCGTGGCTCTGGTAGGAGCTGAGCTGCGTGAAGCCCTTGCCGCAGGCCGGGCAGCGGTAGGGTTTCTGTGCCGCGTGGATGCGCTGGTGGCAGGTGAGAGATGACGAGCGGGAGAAGCTCTTCCCGCACTCGGAGCAGAGGAAGGGCCTCTCCCCAGTGTGGGACCTGTGGGGCAGAGAGGGCGGGCGTGAAGGCGACGGCTCCTGGGCCGGATCCCCGAAGAAGCCTCCAGGTAGGACCTCCACGCACATCTCAGCTGCGCGGGCTGGGGTGCACCCACACCTGGCTCCCCGAGACCAAACGCTGCCAGGGGCTCCAACCCCGGGGGCCTCCCCGCACCCACCCACTCGCAGCCATAGGGCCGCAGGCCTGCGTGCGTGCGCCGGTGCTTTCGGAACACCGAGGGATCTGCGAAGCTCTTGCCGCAGTCGGTGCAGGCATAGGGCCGCTCCCCGGTGTGGCCACGCTGGTGGATCTTGAGTTTGGAGAGCGCGCCGTAGGCCTTGGGGCAGTGCGTGCACCGGAAGGGCAGCTCGCCAGCGTGCGAGGCCAAGTGCACGCGCAGGCACACGGGCTGCATGAAGCGGCGACCGCACTCCGGGCACGGGAAGGGCTTCTCGCCTGTGTGGCTGCGCCCGTGGCTGCGAAGCTCGGGTGCCGTCTTGTAGGCCTTGGGGCACAGTGAGCACGCATAGGGCCGAGGCTTCGCCGCTGAGCCGGACCCTTTGTCCCCACTGGCTTCTTCTCCCTTGGCTTCAGTGTCCTGCGTTGGCTTCACCTCTGCCACCTCCTCACGGTCTGTGGAAACATGCGTGGCAGCGTGGCGCGCGGCCCTGGGAGCGTTTGGAAATGTCTTGGTACAGGACAGGCACTTATAGCGGCGGCCACATCGCTTGTATCCAGGGGTTGGGGAACCGGCCTCGGTGGCCTCCACCTCCATGGCCTTGGTGGGTGGGGCGTCTCTGCAAGACAATCAAAGTTAGGCCAAAGCCAAATCCCTTTGCTAGTCTTCAAGGCCTCTGTCCTCAACAAAGGCCTCTCAGGGCCCCAGACAGAAGCTATCTCATCGGTGTTTCCCACCTGGCTTGTTCAGCACAAATCAGGGGACTCCCGTAATTTCCCTGCCAACCATTCTCAGCTCTGATACTCTTAAATTTCCTCTATGTTCTGCTCACTAAGTGAAGAGTGAACCGGGTGAGGAGTCCAAGGGGCTAAGAGAAGGACAGCATTACAAAAGGTCTCCCTGTACTTCTCTCCCCAACCTCTGTGCTTTTCCAATTCTATAGCATCCCCTGAACGCCTCGGTTCCATCTGTTTCGCCATCCTCCCCCTCAGCTCAGAGAACACGGACTTGTAAAATGCTGGGCCATGTGCAAGGTGACAGAGGCAGAGGGTAACCAGCTGTGGGCCTGGCCCAATCTTTGGATGCCCAGGGCAGACAGGCCTAAGTGCAGAAGATGGCTACATGGAGTGGTTGGCACTGTGTGGCAGTGATAAGCCCCTCATGTGTTATGTGCTGGTTGGTCCACTCTCAGAGATGCAACTGTTCAGAGTTTGGGCCTTGCACAGTTTAAGGGACTCCAATCCAGGCAGGAATCCCTAGTCCACCCTCTGCTTTGCAATCTCTGTCGGGCTCCTGCTCCTACAACTCTGGTAGTAGGGAGCTCACACTCTCTCAGCCTGAGCTACAGCTAGCAGCCAGAGGCCTCTGATCTAGTGAGGCCTCCTGGGACACAAGCACTAGTTGCGGTCCCTACTTTCCAAAGCTCAAACACTGTCTACCCAGCTGCTCCTAGGATCATGACTGGGAGGAAATAGGATTAACAGCTGCATTAGCCTTAGCAGCAGCTCATCCTCCCAGGGGATGAAGAAAAGAGGATTACAGCAGATCCATTTAAGGACAGAGCAGCAGCTGCTGTTTAGGGGAGCAAGCTGGGAGTCGGGAGAAGAGCTAGGTGCACCAGAGGCTAGGAGGCCAGCACTCTTCTGCCAGCCCTTTGGATAACTTCTGTGAGGCCTCAGAGAAATCAGTAGTTGTTTCAGGTCTGTTTTGTCTGTGCGTCAGCTTGGTGGTGGGAGGTTTCTAAATCAGACAGAGCTGAGACAGGAGGATGCTGAGGGAAATGCAGATCCAGGCTTGGGGCCCTTTATACAAGGATAGGGTACAACTTACCTAGTGGGCCCAGGAGCCCCTCCAGTGAGTGGCAAAGGCTTCAAGCCAGCACTCTCTTGCCTGCAGTCCTCAGTCCTACCATAGTCCAGCTCCTCACCCCATGCAGCCAGAGTCCTCTCCATAAAGTACCACGTGATGCTCCCATCCCCTGTTCATGAACTTTCCAGGGCTTCCAGCCTACTATTCAAGTTCTCAGATTCTTTCTGGTCATTCCAAATCCTACCAATGCTTCATTTGAGCCCCACTTCCCCTAGGCTCTTCCTCGCATCCTCTTTATGTGTTTTGGCCCCAATCTCACATAACTCCATTTTGCCCTCAACTTGGTCATTTCACTTTCCCACTAAATCCTGGGGCTTGAAGCTGAATTAAAGGGCTTGAGTTTCAACAGTATGAATTCCTCTTACAATTCCTAAGGGATCCATCCCTATATCTCTGGATGAGAGACTCTCTCCTACCAGGCTATCTCTGGACAGTCTGCTTGATGAACTTTCTCCTTATGAAAATTAATGGTAGCAGGCTGGGGTTACAGATTAGTGGCAGACTGTTTGCCTAACACAAGTGAGTTCCTAGCCCAATATGAAGGAGGGAAGGAAAAGAAAAAAGGATAGATCACTTTTACTAAGCACTTATGAAATTCCAGGTTGTATTCTATGCTCTGTATGTGCACTGACTCACTTACCCTTCATGTCAGCATCATGAGAAAAGTTCTTTTCATAGATAAAAGAACTGAGGTCCAGAACAACAGTACAGCACTGTGGTTAAATGCATAGCCTTTGAAGTGAGAATGCCCAGGTTCAAATCTTGCCTCCATCACTCTCCAGCTGATGTAAACTTGTGCAATTTATTGTATGTCTTAGGACCTTAGTTTTCTCATCTGAAAAATGAAGGTAAAAATAGTACTTACCTCAGAGGGTTGGGTGAGGTTTGAATGAGACAAGAATAATTACTGCCCTTAATTATTGAGTCTTTTCAGAGCCAGAACTTTACAGAACATGCACCCTCGTTAATTCTCTTGCTTCCTCAGATAGGAGTTACAGCCCCCATTTAAAAGATGAATAAACTGAAGTTCCAAGAGTAACAAGACTTGCCCTGTCAAACAGGTTGGACTTGAAATCAGGTGTTTCAGCTTGTTCTAAGTAGCTGGGTCCTTGCTCAGTGGAATGAGACCTCCCAAGCTTTTTCCTGCCAGGGCCAGCCCCATGGTGACCAGAACCTTGAGCTCAGGTTGTATCTGTATCTTCTCTTATCTCCACAGAACTGCCTTGAGATCAAAACCAGCACCATTACATTTCAGGAGACTGGGCCTGCTGGTTCTGAGCTTGGTCCCTATTCTGGCCCTTGACAGGCCTCAGTCTTATACTTATCTGTGAAACAGAAACTAGATTGCTAGAGGAATAAAACCTTGCTAAGGAGCTTCCCAGGGAAATGGTAAGGAGCACCTGGTTGGTCCCAGCAGGCAACCAACTCCATAGAGTGGAGGGCCAGGTAAACTAGGCCTGTCTAAATCTACTATTAAATCCTTACTTTGCTGAGGAGTCTTCCTAGGGTGATATTTCTCCAAGTGAAGTCTTTAAGTCTCCCATATCACAATAATCATCTAGGGAGCTTGAGGCAGGACACAGGCATCTGTATTTCAAACAGTTTCTGGATCATTCTACCCAACACTTAAGAATCAAATAGGCCGGGGATTTAGCTCAGTGGTTCCACTGACTGCCTCACAAGTGCAAGGACCTGAGTTCGATTTCCAGTACCCCCCACCAAAAAAAGCATACTGACCCAAGTTCGATCCCTACCAAAAAAACAAACAAAAAATCAAGCCGGGTGTGGTGATGCATGCCTACAATCCCAGCATTTGGGAGGCTGAGGCAGGAGGATTGCTGTGAGTTCAAGACCAACCTGGGCTACATAGTGAGTTCCAGGTCAGTCTCAAGTATATAGTGAGACCCTGTCTCAAAAAAAAGAGAATCAAATACATGTATAAGTAGCTGGGTATGTTGGTGCATGCTCTAGGAGGCTGAGACAGGAAGATCACTGTAGTTTGAGATTAGCCTGGCCTACAAAGCAAGACCCTGTCTCAAAAAAAAAAAAAAAAAAAAAAAACTTGGGCTGGCCCATGGGGGGAGGGGGTGGGGAGAATATTTAAGAAAAAAAAAACCCCAAAATAAAAATAGAATTGGCCGGGCATGGTGGCACGTGCCTGTAATCCAAGCACTCAGGAGGCTGAGGCAGGAGCATTGTTATGAGTCTGAGGCTAGACTGAGCTACATAGTGAGCTGAAGGCCAGCCTGAATTACACAGTGACAACTTGTCTCAAAAACAAAACAAAGCAAAAAGTCCAAGACACATCCTTCAGTTTTCACATGCTCCTAGGAGCAAATTATTTTTAGTACATCTGTTTTCAGATGTGGAGATTAAGCTCCCACAAGGGAAACAATATATACAAGGACACAGCTAGTCAAGGAGGCCAGATTAAAACTCAAGTGTTCAGGGGCCAGGGATTTAGCTCAGTGGTTCTGCTGCCTGCCTCACAAGCACAAGGAACCAAGTTCAATCCTCAGTACCAAAAACAAAAACAACAAAAGACCTCAAATCTTCAGGTCCCTGGGCTGGACTCTTTCTCTACCAGTTTTTATTCTCTTGAGGGTCTTTTTGTTTTTTGGGTTTTTTTTTTTTTTTTTGGCCAAATCTTAACACTATTCTCAGAACAAAGACCAGTATCTCTAGGTTTGACATACTCAGGCCCCCTTTCTTCATTAAAAAGCTTGATTCCTTCCTGCCTTAGGGTGTTTGCACTAGCAGTTCCTCTGCCACAACCACTATTCCCCTAGGACCTTTGTGTAGCTGTTCCTGAATTCTTTTTTTGTCTCAATTAAATGCCACTTCCTTAAAGGTTTTCTTGACTACCTTTCTTAATGCTATTTGCATTCCTGATAATCATTCTTTCCCCTCTTAAATTTTGTTTTATACCAGGAATTGAACTCAGGGCCTCATGCTTACCAGGCAGGCACTGTGCCACTGAGCTATATATCTCTAGCCCTTAAAAATCTTTATGGTGTCATCTGGATCAAACATTCCTTGTAAGTTTATTGTGGGTCAGGTGTCATTCCAAGCATTTTATGCTTATTATTCATGCTAATCTTTACCCCCCACCACCAGTACTGGGAATCATACTCAGGACCTTGCACTTGCCAGGCAGGCACAGCACCACTGAGCTATATCCCTAGCCCTCATGCTAATCTTGAAAATGCTTAGTTTATTATGGACTGAATGTTTGTATTCTCCCCAAATTCATGTATCAAGCCCCAATTCCTATCGTGATTGAATTTGTAGCCATGCCTCTGCAGAAGTAGTCAAAAGTTAAATAAGGTCAAAAGCCTATGCCATAAACCCAGCACTCTGGAAGCTGAGGCAGGAGGATTGCTGTGAGTTCAAAGCCAGCCTGGGATGCATAGTGAGCTCAAGTCCAGTCTGAATTACAGAAAGAAAAAAAAAAGGTCTAGGGCTCTGGTCTAGTAAAATTAGTGTTGTAAGAAGGGATAAATAGAAGTGGGGATTTAGTTCAGTGGTTCTGCTGCCTTCCTTGAAAGTGCAAGGACCCTAGTTCGATCCCCCATACCAAAAAAAAAAAAAAAAAAAAAAAAAAAAAAAAAAAAAAAAAAAAAAAAAAAAAAAAAAATAGAGAAGCAAAGTAACTAGTAACAGCAGCCAGTATTCAAAACCAGCTGGCCAGACTCGCAAATGTCTGTTCTCTTCTGAATATTGCTTTTTTTTGGGGGGGTTTTTTGAGACAGTGTCTCACTATGTATTTGAGACTGACCTGGAACTCACTATGTAGCCCAGGCTGGTCTGGAATTTACAGTGATCCTCCTGCCTCAGCCTCCTGAGTGTGAGTGCTGGGATTACAGGCGTGCGCTACCACACCCGGCTGAGTATTGCTTTGCTAGCACTTATACATCTTATGTTCTGGTTGTTAACCCATTTATGCTGCAGATTAAAATTTTTTGAATTTTTGCATGAAATTTATTTATATTATCTAGAAAAATGCAAGGAACAAGAATTTGAAGAGAATACATTTCATTGTGTTCCACTGCTGTCGGGAGCCATTGTACATAATTTTTTGAAACTCATTTTACAATTAAATTATGATTAGGGCTGTCTGAGGCCTCAATGGTCCCATGATGCTGTGATGCTGAAGGGCAGGATTACATAATCTGAAGACATCCTGGTTCTTAGAGAACCAAGTAGTAATACAAAAAGAGAAAGGTTTCACCTGGGGAGGGACAAATTCCTTATTAGCTTAACTCATCCCACCCACTGTTGTAAGAAGTCTTTGATCATCTCACTGTCCTCATCAACATAAACTCCTCATAGACCTAAACTCCTTATCAGGATTATGGCCACCCTCTGATACCCCTAAGAACCCAATAAACAGTGGCAAGCTCCATCCAGCCCCCCCCCATGTGCTTTGTCACTATCGAAGTCTCTATTGTCTTTTTTTCTTTAACCCTTGCAGTGCCCCTTTCTAGGCAGTTGGAGGACTGATTGACCTCCCAATACATCGTTATGGGTGTTCAAAAACTGAATCATTAGGCACTGAAGGGTTCCTCCAACACTGGATGTCCAGGTTGAAGAGCCCAGAAACTTGACTATGTGTATCCTCTATACCTACAGCTGTTTGGCCACCTGAGGCAAACAGCAAGAATTAACTTCAGATAAAATTCAAATTAGTAGCCGGGCGTGGTGGCACATGCCTGTAATCCCAGCACTCAGGAATCTGAGGCAGGAGGATCGCTTGAGTTCGAGACCAGCCTGGGCTACATAGTGAGTTTCAGGTCATTCTCAACTACACAGTGAGACCCTGTCTCAAAAAAACAAAAAACAAAACAAAATAAAATTCAAATTAGTCTTAATTTGCCTCTCCCAAAGGAGTTTGTGAAAAACAGGCAACTGCTATTTATGAACTGAATTTGTACTCCTTTCCCAGTTCACAAGGTCCAAATAACACTTCAGTTATTCTACGCTGTGTTCACTATTGTGATGAAATCGTGTCTTTGCCTCACTCCTCACCTAGTAGGGGATGAAGTTCTGCTGTTTATATGCAGATATTCAGTTCCCCAAAATCTTTGGCTAAGGACCTGGGAGCAAGGCTGAGGTGAAAAGGTGACACCTAATACTCCCCCTCACTAAACAAGTAGTCATCACATAAACTTCACAGGCCATAGTGATCTGGAGAATTGATAAAACTATACAGAGGTGAATACTAATCATATTCTCCGCCTAAAACCTGGTCTTTTTCAGCCTCAGCTTCGGCAATCTCCTCATCTGGTCAGCGAGCTAAACTCCGGCCCAAATACTCAAATTTGGACACCTCTATATGCCATGCCCTCTGCCTACAAGCCTTTGCTTGCCTTTTTGCAAGAGAAAACTCTTCTGCATCCTTCGAATACTCCATACTTAAATGAAAAGGGTCAAAATGCGACATGTACACATACCAATAAGATGGGGGAGTACTTAATGGGCAGTAGAGGTAAGGGGTCCACAGTGCTCTAGGCCTCAGTGTCTTCAGTGAAATGGGGTCCCTGAGGCACATGGGAGACTGAAGGGTGTCGGGGCCTAACAGGCGCTCTGAGGAGGGGCCAAGGGCTGCAAAAGTCCCTTTCCTCTCTGCCACCGTGTGGGTGTAGATGCTCTGGACAGACAGGCAGGGCCCTAGGAGGACTCGTTTTGGGAATAAACCCTAGGAAAACGTGGCCTCGGCGAACGAGGTAAGAGTGAAAGAATGAGGGAATGAAAAATGAATGAACGGAGGCACCAAAGCCGGACAAAGGCTCTGCAAGATGGCGTTCTTTAGGACCGCAGGAGGGGCGGCAGGGCCTCGGCCGGGGAGGGGGCCTCTGGCGCCGGGGTCCTCGCAGGGCCGGTCGCACCTCGGAAACAAAAGCCCTCAACAT